GATTGTATCATAATATTATAGTAACGTGTAGGTTTTAATTTTGGACTCGGGTATGCATAAATACATAATACATCACAAAAATAATTCAATCGCATAATATTTTTGAAAAATTGTATTCAAGTAATTCGTCGTAGTACATAATTTATCATAATAAATATCTATCACTTTTAACCAACTTCGAATCTCTACCGGATTGATGATAATATTTAATATCAATATGACGGTACATACATATTATCATACTGTGGTCGTAACAGTTATATAATAATGATAACAATAATCTCGGGTATAATATAGTATTATTGTAGCGACAGACGGAGTGGTTTAAATTTTAGATAAAAATAATATCACGTCTTTCATAAATCTATCAAAGCGTGTTACTAGCGAACTTTTCCATTATCCGTTTCCCACGCCGCATTGAGTACATCTAATATGGATACAATATCATATGTATCGGCTGACTCCCCGCCGTAGTCTCTGCCGACCTTGGCAAAATCTCAAAAAATAATAATAAAAAAGAAAAGAAAAATCCGTTCGCAGTAAGCTCCGATTCGGATCTTGTATTTTCTTCCCTCGTCCCAACTACGGCGAGTGCGTACTGCGCGGACTTTGGATGTCGATCGACTGGCCAATATAACAATAGTGGCTCCATCATATTATAAACAGAGAGATTATCTTAACGGTAAACGAGCATCATCTCGGGAATTATTAGCTCGATAACATTTTTTCCACAAAAAAATAGTCTGCTTTGGAATATTAAATTGCACGTGTACGCCGATGAAACAACTATAAGAAAGTTAAAAATTATAAAGATAGGTACATAGGTAAGAATTAAAAAAAAAAAATAAATAGATTTTAATGGATTTAAAAACCAATTAATATATTTGGAGTTACACTATTCATCACACTAGTTTATAATTGTTATTTAAACCTTTAACAACAATTTGATGGTACGTGGCTTACAAAATATAATTTATCGACAAAATTAAAATACGTGCACGAATGTACGCTAAATATTATTATTATAAATTAACATGTCATATTTTTAAACGAAACCGTATCGAACGCGTGCCGACGAGTCTAGACGAAATTTATTTCCAACTCACTTTGTTTTGACAGTTCTCTATTCACAAACACGCGTGTCTTTTCCCGGGAAACACGCATCGATACCCTTATAATATATATAGTTAGACACTGAGATGTAATAACTGCTTAGGAAAGTAAATATTTGTTCGGCATGTGATGACGTGTGCCCACCCGTGACGGACCTCTCGTTTTTAAAAAAAAAGTTTTCACGCACACGATGGCAGTTATTGTCTAATACGGACGACAACACCGAACAGATAATCACTTACTTTTACCCTTATTTTGTGGAATAAATAATTTATAATTTGTAATTATTACAACCACTTATCGAAACGTTGATTTGTATTTTTAGAATCTTAAAAAATTGTTTCGTGTATACATCACATAATATATATTATTGAATTGACCCCTATCATGCGGTCATTTACCTTTTCCAAAATCGTACTTAATCATCACTATGATATTGTATTTTGATTTATTTATACCCTCGGCTAGTAGTTATTCTGTTATCAAACGATTCGTGTCGATAACATATTATTATGATGTCACGACAAGCCACGAGTAATTTATTATTAGAATAATATAGGTTAGGTCCATTGTTACACTTTTATATATAATTGTTTTTTATCTGAACATTTTCTGTAGGAGTCTGTACCGGACGCACGTGCAGTTGGACGTCGAAGAATATATTAATTTTAATTCCCAATATAAAAAACACTAACTTTTGGAATCATGTGTTAGATAATTTCTACAATATTTACAATTCTCAATAATAACTATAACACTCACTATTATAAGGGAAATTATGTGTTCTTTCGTGCCTTTGATCAAATCGTTTTTTTATCATTGGTTTTGTATTCTAATTGAAGCATTTGTGTTTATATTTCTAATAATTACCCAGTAAACGTATAACAGTAAACATTCAGAATTCAATGACTGTTTATACTCTAAATTTACTATTAACTACTGTCATCGAATTCTGTTTTACCGTGTAGTCTGTGTTTAGAATAATCTTCTTATCCACCAAATTAAATAATATTGTTTAGGTATTTGATTTCACTAGTCATTAATCACCACATTTAAATAACCATCTAATCCACGGTGGAATAGCTAGTTGAGTATCTTCAACTATTTGGTATACTGTGGAAACGGATCACGGGTAATACCACGTTTTACACGGAACACGGACACAGTGTAATATAAAAAAATTAAAATATATTGAAATCTTTTATAATTCAAAAACATTTTGATAAAATAGTTTTGTCAACTTATTACCATAAACAAATAATGACAGTTATGCTTATGACTGTTATGAGTATTGAGAACAAAATATACGTACCTAAATATTATGTTTTTCTAACAACATTTTTATATTCGAGATCTTTTATACATTTTAAGATGGATATAAAGAGGCTTCAGATAACAAACTAAAAGTGCGTTACAAAAAAAAAAAGAACAATATCAAAAAAAATAAATAAAATATCAGAGAAAAGAAAGAATAAACGGAAATGCCAAAAGTATCACGACAAGAAATCAAAGAACAAAAATTAGAGAAAGAACAAACAAGATGAGCCATAATATTTAGATTCCAGTGATATGATAGAGTTGGCGAACGAAGCTAGCAGGGGGCAAAGCTACTAGTTATTGTTACAAAAAAAAAAAAAATAATATTAGCATGGGAACAATTTGTTTTTATAATATAATATTGCATTTTATTAGTATAACATTTTAAAGTAATCATTGGGCTACAGTATTATGGCACATAATGTTTGTTTGTATAAAAATATAATATACTTATAATATTTAACTTGACACTAGGTGTAATAATATTATGTCCCAATCAAAATTAGTTATTTTAGGAATCATTTTTAGAAATAAGTATTCTATATATATAGTACTCTCATTAAATATTTTAAAATTATGAAAACAATTTTGATATCTTTATTTGGGAAACATTTAAAAAGAGTAACAAGCATTTTTTTTTCGAAAAATTATGTCTTAGGGCAGAAAGGGGTTTAAATTTTTATTATAATAATATAGAGGGTCCAAAAGCCAAATACGCGGTAATGTACCGAAATTGCCTACACGCCGCGCCGGCTAACAGATATAAAATCATCATTTTGTCATTAACTATATGACGTGATAAGTTACTGATAACTAAAAAGCAATACTTATCATCGAGAATTTAAAATTACAGATTTTTTACATGGAGTCGTATGTGTGTTTCAGTCTAAGAATGCGCTGCAGCAGTTAAATGATTAAATGAGCATTCTTTAATACCACGTGACTCAAAATGTATATTTTATTCAATGCATAAGCGATAATGTAAAATATATTATCGTGTACCTATAATATACAGATCGTTGTTTGAAAATTTCATGAATACATTTAAATCATTTTCGTTTTTTATTTATTTACTGGAAATAACTAGTATGCCTACATTTGTTGGTTATTAATTGAAAAATTGTAACTATTAATATATTAATATATTCGTTTTTAATCATTCAGTACAGCGTTCAGATTTTTTTTAATTTTTTACTGTCATGTTCTTACGTAAATTATTAATAACATTTAAAAATACAGTGGGTCTGTTTTTATAATATTCACCATTTATTGATATCGCAGCCAAATTTCCTTAAATTAAAATTAGTTTTGTTATAATAGTATAGCACATTACCTCCTAGGTTGCATATTACTCCAAAATAAACATTTTGGAACTTTTTTTTACAACTTTTTTGTAAACATAAACTTTTTTGAACACAGTCCTTATTTGTTTTCACTATATACAGTTTTCCAATTTTTTTTTCAAGTAATTTTGATTCATTAACATATTATAATATTATGGTCCTAAACTAAAAATTAAATGGGTTACAGCTACCTATTTTGAGTTTGAAATAAATCTATTTTACAAGTTAAGTTAGAAGAGGATGATAAATAATGATTATATGTCGTTAATATATATTTTTTATGCTTTTTTAGTCTCAAAAAAAAAAAGTATCCAAATCCATGAAAATAGTTATTTATAGTCTAGAGATATATAAGTTATATAAGATATAAGATATTATAAGATATTATAAGTTTATTGATAAATAGAAGAAAGAGATTTATTTTCATTCTTTGAATATCTATAATTTATCAAAATATGTTGGGCTAATGACGTTGATGGATCGAAGAAATTGAAAAATTCATAACTTGTGAAAAATTTGTGTTGCTATTCAAATAAACCAAGTTGCACCAAATCCAAGTATTATGAACTTTAAATTTTCTCAAAGTATGAATTTCAATACTAAAGTACTATTTATAATTTATAGGTTTAAAAACTAACAGCATTTCCTTTACATGTCTAAAGTATTTAATTTTACATTTGGAATGGACACATTGTACATATTATTATGAAATATTGTTATTTCTACTTTTTTTTGTACCTATGTTATGATATAATATGTATAAGTAGTATTTTATATTATCTGCCAGTGGCCAACGTTTTAGAAAAAGACAAAAATATAAATTAGTATTAATTACATAACATAATATTTCTTATACTATTATGAGTTTGTTCTTATAGTAATAATAATAATAATAATAATAATAAAATAATAAAAATAAATATATTAATATAGGTTATTTTAGAACAATTAAACATTACGTGAATTGAAAGCAATGCGTACCTACCTGCAACTTACCGCGTTACTACAAGAAGTCATCGTTATGCGTTTCGCGTAATTTACAATTATATATGACGCAGTAGTTAATATATTATTTTTTATATGCTACAAAATTGTCTGCATTTATTTTTATAATGCACTAGACCCTTTTGCACAATAGATCATCGTGCAAGGTACACGATAATCTCGCACGATGGTCGTTTTCACGAACAAACACACTGTGACGATTGCATCGATTTGTTTCAGCAGTAGTATGTATGGAGACGTGAACATATCGGCCATACTCGATTCGTTCAGCGGCAGTTACGACAAAAGAGTAAGACCGAATTACGGAGGTGAGTCGATCATTTTTTTTATATAATATACATATATATAAATTAATATAGTATTTCTATAATTTACTATATAATAATCATTAAAACAACAATATGTACTTCGTATATTACATTTTATAATTATTAGCAATCATCAATATTTTTATACAACAATTACTATTGTTGTATAATAATATACGTAATAATTTATTGCACAGCCATCGTTTACAATGCTCAATTCTGGTGTTACACATTGTTGTATGTTATATCATATTATAATATATGGCATTGTGATAATATGCAAGAGCATTATCATTATTACTACCTAGGTTTTGTATTTTGTTTAATGTATAATATTAATAAAGATAATATACGTGAACATGATATTTTCTCATCTCTATTGAACGACAGATCTATTATTCTACAAGAGGGACATTTTTTTTTTTGACGTAAGGCATTGTATTGTTTTCTCAGTGAGTCAGTTCGTTATATTTTTTTATGGTACATAAAATAACTAATGTTAATACCTATAATATTCTCACTACTAATTTTAAAAGTACACAAGACCAATCGTTCAGAACCTAAGAACTCATAATAAATTATAATACGCATTTCTAATATTGTTAATATATTCAATAAATTGTATTCACGGAAATGTAATAGGAAAATATTATATTCTGGTTGAGCTGGTTACGATAATATATATTTAATAAAGAATACTTACCCTTATATGTACCTATAAGCTTAAAAAAACATTTCTATATGAATAGTGAAAGGAAAAATTATTTGCATAAAATATGTAGTTGTGTTACGATAGTATTACTATTAAAATCGTTATAAACATATTATGTTTATTATATTCATTATGTAAAATTTGTTTTTAGCACGGCTGAAAACACGTGTAGGTATTTTATGAATTTTATCTAGGCAATAGCTAACTAACAATTTCGGAGCTTTTTACCCCATATTCAAACTAGATTATTTTTTTTATTTCTTGATACCGCCTATATGCAATACAAAATACAATATTACAATTTTACAATATATAACAAAATAATAATACACGATCTTTATTTTTTCAATAACTCGCTGGAAACGTTTTTTCGATTATTACTGCTTATTGTACATCACGAACTTATGATATAATTTCGGTATCGTGATACTTCAATAGTATTGTCCAAATTTGTTTAACGTTTCAAATATAATAGACATATTATCACACATTAGGTAGGTGTTAGAATTTTCAATATTATGTGATATAATAAAATATACTCGATTTAAATTCGGATTAAACACATGTACTACAGCACTTCGTTATATACTTTTTCGTATAAAATGTGCGAGGGTATCTGTGGGTGTAGGTATCTGGTAAATCACATTATAATTTAAATTATGTATGAATCTCGAAAGAGTATGTCGAACAAAAACGGTGGTCTTATAACTGTACGAAATATCTAAAATGTAAATATATTTTATATAAAAATATCAGCTATTTATACCGTTGTAAGGTTTATAAAATATTGTGTTTATAGTTGATATATTTGCGTTTAAAGTTTATGCGATCCAAATGTGGAAATACACACATAGTACAGACGAAGAAACTGTGTATTTATTGTCCTCCCCAGCCACTCTTGGAAAATACTGGTCTAAACTTTAAACGGATCTCACACTCTCTCTCACTCTATACAAATTGTGTGCATATTATTATTATGGGCTTGCAACACGCACCGTTTGTTGTACGATAATATTATATCGGTACGTCCTATTAAATACTATATAAACATTTAGGAAAATTAAATATATCACAGTACACGTCACGCTAGCCCCCGACCTTGCTCTGCATACGGCTCTTTGGGGGCGTTATCCGTACAAAATATAAAGTACAAAAATATTGTCGGTCAAATTTGTTTTTCGAAAATTTCAAATCGGTGGGCTGTGGCGTCAATGCATCAGATAATGTAGTATATGAAGTACAGAGAAACGTGTAGTGATATGAATACAATACATATATTGTGAGTGCGTGCGTGTGTGCATGTTGGGGTGGCATGTGGTTTGAACTTTCCACATTCGATCTATACGCGCCATATTATATTAGACGGAACCTCGGAAAGTTGATAAATAATTATAAAATAATAATTACCTATACGACTTTAAACCGTGTGCAACTTGTTGATAATACGACGCATAATTATTTTGATTTTCGTTTTTGACCTTTCTTACAACATACGTCGAGTAAATTCCTCCTATTTCCTTTAACGGAAAAAATAAAATCCTCTCGTTGAAAATGCATATAAGAACGTCTGCTCGTGCTGTACATGAGCATGTCAGACGATTTTATATCTCGCGATAAAGGAACGTTTTTATCATTCAGTCGTTTTGAATTATTATTTATTAATACCCTGTATAATGTATACGGAATGACCGTTCGCCGCATTTGACTTTATTTACTTTCAATATATGCGACAACTTGCTATTATAACGATAGATCACATCCCTCGAAACGGGTAGGCGGGTATACTTGGTTTTAAGCTAAGGTGTAAAAGCGTCTTACGTTTTATTTATTTTATTTAAGATATTTCTCTGTTATGCGGTTTTGTTTCTTCCATTAGCGTCAATCCATACTTTTTTTTCTATTCCTATTGAATATGCGTAAATTATAGGGCGCAGGGGCGTCGGATCGTAGAATGAGTCGAACATGCCACACACAAACACACAAACACACAGCAATATTTAGGAATTTGCCACAGAAACCACCCAATTTTAAAAACAAATGCGTATTACTTTCAAAAAACAATTTTTTTAATATAATTAGTTAAAATATTAAAATTTTATTCGTATATTATGATTCGAACAATCCTTTAATTTCATCATCATAATTATTAATGAGGTGGAGATTAGTTCACTTTCAATGATATTTCATACATCTAAGGCATTTAAGCGCTGTTAATGTGTTAATGTTAATGTTTTAAATTATGTCAACCGATTACTAATATTTATATATTAATAATATTATTAATGTAAATGAGTCCATAGAGTTATGAGAGGTTTAATTCAATGGGCATAACAATTAAATTACCCCTCCCCTAAATAGCCCATGCACACAAAAACACACACACATTATGTTATGATATATTGATTCACGCAAGCGTGGTGAATGCGGAGTACAGGTCATGGTGCATGGTAAATTTCCCCACGCGGTCACTGCTCTGTACACATTATGGGTACACGTGACGCGTAGAATCTCCTCGTTAATGATAACGATGCCGATGATGGCGTATGTGGGACGAGTCATTAGCCCCACGACGCATGCGTATAGTGATATAAGTATAATAATATAGGATTCTACATATTTTAAATGTATACATATTATATTATATACGCCTATACCTGCGACGCGACGATATTGTTACCTCGCCGCTGCTATCATGCTGCTGGGTTGTAAGCTATTATCTGCCAAAGCAAGGCGGCGGTGGTGTGTAGGTTAGGTCCGTTGGACACTAGTACACGGGGTTGGGGGGGGGGGCTGTAGCTAGGGAGGCCGACATGCGGGTGTGCGGAGCGCATAACGTACAACCCCTCCGGACATACATCTCCGGCACACTCGACCACCGTCACTCATCCACCACGGGGAAAACTATATACAGTACCCATATAGGTCGCATCGGTATACTGTACCAGATCTAAATCATACACGAGATATAATGTATATATATATATATATATATATAGTATTATCTATATATGAGTGAAACTTGAGTGTGGAGTGTGTGTGTGTGTGTGTGAGAGAGATAGAGAGAGAGAGAGAGAGAGAGAGAGAGAAGGGTGATGGGTGACGGCGGGAGGATGGGTCGAAGTAAATACGTACGTATAAAAGCGCACTGTCGCAGAGTTGGGTGCTTCTGGTGGTGGCGGTGTACACTGTACGGTGAAGCAGCAGCAGCAGTAGCAGCACTGGCGTGGACCGCTGTTACACTAACGCCGGGTTTGGGTGGTGTGTATAGTGTATATATACTACGGTGCAGGACCGAGCAGCGGTGATGGTGGTGGTGTAACGGTGTGTGGGCGTGTAAGCTCCGGCCATCATCTCTCCCCAAATCGATTTGACCTGTAGCGCCGTGACTCTATTTTCGATTTCACCGGCTCCCGGCTTTTTTAGGCTAAACACGCCCCGGAACACGATATATATATATATATACAACTAGCCAGTATATACACACGCGCACTTTAGGTGTGTATAAGACCTAAACTACACACACACACACGAACGCGCGCCCGCGCACTTATAACTATATATATATCAACGCGTTGTTCGACTTACGTCGCGGTCGGTGGCGACCCAAAAGAGGTGTACGCCGATCCATACACAGTATACATATACAATTTAATATGATATCCTATACGCTTACATAAGCATCGGTAGCAGTTTTTTGTCAGAGTACGACAAGCGCGTCATCGTTTTCTTTTGAATTTTTTTACACGCGGCTTTCCCGTATTCACGGTGCAGTTTTCGTTTGCCATCCCGACGGCTTCAGCTGGCGTTCAAAACAATAATAATACCTTATAATCAGTATTGTCAAAAATAGACGGTTAGACTCGTTAAAAGTGTACAGGTACTTATTCAATACGCAATCGGATACTTGGTAGAAAACTATTAGTAAATACATATGTTTAAATTTTTTCAAATTTTTTACGTACCCCATGTTTTTGTTTAACCTTAGAAATCAACAGAACAGCATTTTTTTAGAATTTTAATTTTTAAACAACGTCGGAGTACTATTTCAAAATGCTACAAATACGTATCTGAAGACTTCAAATCGAGTACTTGACAAAACTGAATATAATATATTATATTGACAATGCGCATTTTACGGAGTTGAAACTTTGAACTTGACGATACTTAATTTTTATATATCACCTTACGTCGTACCATTTCGTGGTATACAATGTAAAATGTTTAATATATTGATATATATCTTAAATACACACAAACACACAGACACACACAAGCACGCACGCACTCGCACACCACTGCAGCTGCTTTAGGACACGCTGCACGTATATAATATATTATAATACAATTATATTCATACAGAGGAGTTTGTATCGTACTGGCCATACTCAATTGGAAAAATTTTTATACGACGGGTCGTCCTGCAGTGGGTATTCTTTTTCTGTAGATCATAATATCATCATACTATATCGATTTAAAAAAAAAAAAAACCGTTAATTTAAGAGCATCAATATCGATTTTTATGGAAATCTATATCGAAACGTATTTATCAACATCTAGTTGACATTATTTTGTTTCGTATCTAGACCACGAAAATGAACATAAAGCCTTTCGAAGAAAACAGAGTGTAAACAATAACGACGACATAATAGTTATCATATTATTATATGTTGTAGCATTGCTATTATAATATTTTAACCTCTGCATCAACCACGTTCAAATAGCTTCGCGACCTCGGCATTTCAACCACTCGATATAATTATAAATCGGCGTGGGAAATAATATATATAATATATGTATATACCTAATATTATATTCACGGTGAGGTTGCCTTTGAATGAATAAAAAAAAACCACAACAAAAAAAGAAACCCTTAACCGAGGTCATTAATTCTATATGTAGGCCACAACCTCCTCATCGTCATACGCGACTGGTCAACCGAAATAAATTAAAATCTCGCAGCTTTCGGCTGCAAAGCGTTGTGAGGTATACATACAGAACCGTCAGGATTATACAGGGTGGATCATTATAGTCACGCCCATTTTTATTTTTATAGTTGATTTATTGAAATTGTAATTTTTGTAATTTTAAAATAAACGTTCCGATTATATTTTTGAACTCTTTACATATATTGGACCACTCAAGGATAGTCCTGTGGCCATAGAAACTTCTGTTTTCAAATAGAAAATGTCCCCTTTTTACTTCGAATTACATTATAAATACACTTTTGAAAATATTCATACCCAAAATTCAAAATTTGAACGATAAGTTATGTCAGTTATTAAAATATTTAGGTATACTTACTAAGAATAATAGTCCTTAAAAATAGTTTTACACAAATATAAAATATATTATGTAATATTGAATCTAGTAATTATTATGCTTGGACCATTTTTACAAACTATAAATGTTGATAGAACAATGTAAATTGCTAAAAGTTCAAATTACCATGAGTCCCATATCTTTAACCTAAATTATCCTTAGTACACAATGTCGTCACACAATGATAATTTACTTAAAAACTATTCACTCCAATTTTGATTTTGATAAGTCGAAATGTTCACAAACATTATTCACTAAATAATTTACAGTAGAAAAGGACGGTTCTCATTTAAAAAACAGAAGTTTGGATCTTTACAAGACACTGTAAATGGTTATGAAATACGAAAAATATTTATAATTTGAAAATATTTTGTTTAAGTTGGTAAATATATTAAAAAAGAATTTGTTTTTAAATAACTAAATTGAAGAAAATAAAGAGGATGATTATACTCGGTGATTCACTCTGTTCTTGTATACATATATATTATATTATATGTATACCTATTACCTATACTTTTGCCGTCTAAGTTTCTCATCCTAAAAGGCCAATTAAAAATGTTGAACATCATAATATTTTGATATAACATAATAATAATATCTGTTTAGTATTATTATATTATTGCGACAATCTTGGACGGCACTTATTCGAAAGCATTCTGTTTTGCGTTTTCTTCGAAAGGACTAGATAGTTATAATTATTTGTTTTCGACGAGTATTACAAAAATTTTTCCTTAGTGGACACGATGACTGCGACGGCCCGTTGATAATTTTTCTGACTCGCATACGGGAAATTTACTATATCATATATATTTGCATTATGTACATGTGTGTGCTACTAAATATATTATAATATATATTGATATATTATTACGAAAAGGATATTGTGTCTTTAAGCGATTTATGAATCGTTCAGTCGAACGATTGACGTTTTGTTAGTAGAGCATTGAAATCAAATTTAGGTACATCACATGCTATATGGGTATAGGTAGGAGGTGCCAATAATAAGTCTATTTGTATCGTTTATATTTTACATTTATTGAGCTGAAAGTTTGAGTTCAAAGCGTAGAACAACCCGGTTTGGTAAGAATAAGGGTATAATAATAATAATTGTTATATCGGTTCGTGATGGGATAGAACAACTCATTGCGGTTATACAGAGACGTCTTCAAATTAATGTAGACATATGTGCCATGAAAATTATATCATATAGGTATTTAGATTTATCATGTACGTATATGTTATAACTTATAGCTGAGGGCGTACATTTGGTGCGTACATATTAATAATATGACGTGTATGAATATAGAATAATATATATCGTACCGTATGTTATACTGTAGAGCTCAGCTATATTTTAGTATAAATTATTATTATACATTTATAGATTTCGTCAGCTTAGTCGTTATCTATATAAGGTCATCGATAACACACATGATAATATATATTATAATATTATTAAGTTGATGAGAAGTTACAGCGTATAGTTTCCTACTTATCGATTTTATGTTATTGATATAAATATAATAATGTGTTTTATAATATTTTACACGTGTATATAATCTTGATAATAATATAATACAATTTATATATAATCGCTGCTTCAGAGAATTTCCATCATTTCGTATCATTTTTAATTTTGATTTTGATTTTTTTTTTTTTTTAATCTGCCGGGTTTCAGGTACTCCAGTAGAAGTCGGTGTCACCATGTACGTGCTGAGCATCAGCTCATTGTCTGAAGTGCAAATGGTACAATAAAATATATACATTTTTAAGCAAACTACATAATATTGATATGCATATCGGACCATATATTTTATATAATGTGTTTATTTATTACTATTATTAATTGTATTATTGTTTTATCATTTAAACATTTTTACGTAACTCAAATACACACTATCTATTATTATGTTATATTATATTATCATCCTAGCTGAACTAGTTGCATCCAAACGAATATATTCTTAAACCATTAACCTCATCTAGTCTCATTATTGTTATTATTACTTATTATTATTATGTTACAAACCATTTGGAACGCTTTGTTGTAATACATAAACGTTGGGTTTGAAGCACGTTGTAGACTATCGTTTTTTCGTTGTTGTGCTATATATTATATATAGGTATATACATATATTGTAATATAATAAATGTCCCGGAAATTTCTTAATATTTATATACACACATAAATATAATCTTTTCGAACCAACAACGACAAGAGTATATATATAATATAAAACAAACTGTATGATAATAATCCAAACACTCTGCAGCATTTGATAACGCAACAGGTTATATTGTAGTAAGCTTTGCGCGTAGCGTTTATACTACTTAGACGTGTACATACTAATAATAGACGGAATATAATAAGGAGTCAGTTAAAAGAGTGGTGACTGAGAAATGTAATTTCGTCAAGATTTGCTTTTAATATTGTTATAAATAGGTAGGCACTCAATGTGGAGGCTTTATTTCTGCGACGAGGAGTAAGATACGAGGGTCGAGGATGTTGGATTGGGGGTAACGATGGTAACATGTCGGTCTCATTGCCGTCTGTTAAATTCAAAAAGGCTAAATTGAACAAAACGATGATCGCTGAAACCCACGGCTAACCTCTCTAAAACGTTGCTGTTTAACTCAATGCTCACTCAATGCTCATACGTTATGGACACACCCACGAACCCACACGTCACCCACAATGCATTCGCGTCTCGCCGGAGTAAATTCGTACGCCGTTTTTCCGGGTCTCCGCGGGAAATACATTTTTGATAAATCGCCGATCCGATCGGCCAAGCTTTGGACCGCACGTACCTGGTAATAGGTACCCTGCGTATATAATACTGCACCGAGTGGCAGCCGGCAGCCGACCGAGAATCGCGGCGGCGGGAGAAGATATTTGCTGGAAATCATTTGCGTTTTAGTGCGTTTTTATGTAAATCCGGCGATGTTCACGTACGTATATTATTATTATAATATATATAATATAATAACATGGTAGGTCGTTTCTCGCGGGAATACCAATGAAGTTTAATAGTGGCCGCCGACGCCACTTTTTACGGACATCGCGTCTTCTGCAGCGCGAGAAACCCCGACCGACTGCGTAATAATAATATTATTAATAGCTATGTGTACACATCATATACGATATAATATATTACAACATTTGCAATATTATATTATGAGGATCGTCGCTGGTTGTTTTTTATATTATTATTTTGTATTTGCTATGCTCTCTGCACGTCATATATTATATATATAGAACATCAGCTATATATGGGATCCGTTTAACTGGCTACACACTTATTTTATATAACTAGCTAGACGTTTGTGCTTTTACACAGTTCAGATCACGCACTACGTATCTACCAAAAAAAAAAAAAAACCCAAATTGTTTAGTATTTGTTATACATATTGTGTAAAATTTTTGGCTATAGCTTTTGACGTTCAATCGAATATGGTAACCGGTTGGGTGATTATTTAAAAAACAACTATTAATATTTTTGAAACTATAGTTTTTACATAATTTTAAGTCCTTAGAAAAGAACATATATGTTTCTAAAAATAATCATATTATCCAAACATATGCACAAAAAAAATGGTTCTATTTAATCGAGAACATATCTTATAATTTATAACTATAATCAATTTGGACTTAAGGAAAAAAACATGAAAATACATATTATAATAAATCCTATCCTTAATAATTATAACTTATATGCAAAAGTGTAATTTTAAATAAATACTTATAACAATAACTACTTGTTCAAAATTTGACTTCTTCGATCAAAATACTCCAAATAATATTCTGCTTCAAAATATGAGTTTAAAAGTGCATGGATTTCAAAAGGGTAAATATTTAAAAAAAATAATGAAACATATTTTTTACCAAACATTTTGCATTTTGTTATGTAATGACTTAAAGTTATATAAAAGAAATATTTTTAAAAAATAAGGATTTTCTCAAACAATGGGTGTTTCACATCATACAGATCACTCCGCATAATAAAACGTTGATTAAACAGTGTTTATTTTTGTTTTGCAGTAGGTATAGTTGCTACCTATTATAATAGAAGCATTAAAAAACGGAATTACTTTTTCGGGGTATCCGTTGCCGTCTCGCTTAAAAATTTTACTTTTAAAATTGATGCGTATCCACTATCCAGTGAAACGGATCGCGTCTCGTCTGCGCGTCGTCTATACGGTAAAATAAAAAAGTATATAAAATGTCATCAAAATCGTGGTACGCGCCTCTGAAAACCTCGAGGATTTCCGTACGAAAATCGGAAGTAACAGTGGTATCGTTCACCGCACGCGCGAAACACGAAGTCGTGTATAATATAATTTATAAGCGCGATGAAAAGTTTCTTCGCTGAAGAGAAAAAAAAAATACCCCCGTTAAAAGAATATTATCACCCCTCATAATAGCAAAGCGAAGATTTAGCGGTCGACATTTCCGGTAAAAACAAAAATCGATCAAAACATATAACCCATACCCGGAAAATATCACCCGACCGGAAATGGCTGTTATTATTATTATTATTATATGTTATGTGCAGAGAACGCGCTTTACACGCGGCAGAAATCGTTTATAAACGTTTTCAATTTACGATCGTATATTATAATATATATATAATATAAGCGCGGCGGTAGTATTATGGTTTTTTGTCGACTGGAAATTCGCCGCCTGCAAGTCGAGTGGACGACTTTTCTTCTATTTTTTTGGTCGGACCACGATTTCGCATCTGCCGCCCACCTATATATAATACACGCCTGCACCCTTTCGCCTATCGTCCTCCGTTGAAAAGACGGACGTAGGTATACCCTACGATATTATGTTCGGACGAGGATGGCTTTGCATTATTGAACGCGGCCGACTGTTTTGATATTCATGGGCTGTACGGCGGCTGCGTTGGTTCGTGCCATTATTACAACGGAAACCTGCGCGAAACGTATACATATATTATTATAATAACAATATAAACATATTATTATATACATTTACGTGCATACAGGGTGTGACGTATTTCCGTCTCCCGCATTCGCGGGTCGATTTCGGCGTTTGGGCGTTTCACCGCGAGCGTCTTTGTCAACCCCGCGGGTCGATCGTGAACTTTTCCGAATTAATATTTTTGAAACACGATTTTCGATGAAAATATCGACACTTTAAAAATTACAGTGATATTTATTGTATTTATTTAGTTTACACGAATTATCGGCAACGGTGTATACCGCGTACCGACTCGTCGTCTATGTCGCACTCGGTGGATTTACTCGGGTTATGACTACGATATATTATTTACATAGACAGTGTAGTCGGTTTTGGATCGCCAAGTACAGAATAAAACGACAGTCAACTTTTAAATCGATTCGCCGTGCCATGTTGGTATAATAATAAACGCTATAGTCGAATCATAATATTATATTCATATAAATTTAATATTGTTCAACTCGTATTTCATCACTCATGTGTTCTTCAATATTGCACTCTTTATTTCAGATATTCAATAAATCTATGTAGGTTGATAGTTTGAACGCAGGTCGCACGCTCCTAGTATGTACCTATAAAGTACAACTTAGAAACTGATTGTTTTGGGTCCAACCACCCGGTTCGGAATACCGGATCATGCGTAGAGGAAATCGCCAGCTATAACTACTGCTCCTTAATTGGACAGGAAAGATAGGATTAGGTATAAATATAAAAACCCACTTGGTATGAATGAATGAGGGAGGTGTGGTGCAAAATAGAAAACAGTTATTTTAAAGTGTTGGTTTTTCTCCCGATTTAGTATATCATAGACCAATAGTCTTGAGATTATCTTTTAATATTATAATATTATAAGTACTCATGTGGTAAATATTTAAAACCTACTGCTAATTCCATTAAAAGTCTTATATCTTTTAGACTTTTGACAAGAATTGGGAGGGGGATATAGAGGCGTATCTTGTGGCTAGGAAGTGAAGTGACGAGGCGACCAAGCACAGTGACCACTCTGTATACGCCTTGTACTCTGCCGTCGTCTGGACCATTTAATAAATCGATAGGGTTTTTTTTTTTTAATTTAGTTTTTATCTATCTGCGGTGTAATTTTTTTGCTGACTTTTTGGAACGGTTTTCTGAACATCGCATCGGCCGACAACGACGACAACGGTCTCCATGAACAAGTCCGATGACTTTACAATATCATCGTAACCATTTCGAGTTCCATTCCGGTTGATATTACGACGTAAAAGCGAAAAAAAACTCTGTACCATAATTAGGTCATCCCATGGTTAAGGCGCACAGACGATGCGGTCAAAACGCCGCGGGGAAATAAACAGAATACTAGGTACGTTATTATTATTTTATATAATACACGTCCTAAGTACGGCGATGGCGGTTTTGTCGTTTCGCAATTAAAAAAATAAAACGAGGCGCCAAGTTCTGATCGTTTTTCTACTCTTTTGAAAGCATATAATAACGACACTCGCGGTCGAGTGCTGAATAACAGTCGTATATTATTATACATATTATAGTATATAAGTATTATAATATACGGTTTATTTTTTTTTTCCATATATATTTTAATTTAAAACTTATCGTCGTAACCTTTACAACAACGGGTCGAGGCTCTCCGCAGTAACTACGTCACGTCGTAACGAGTCAAAGACGTATGCATAAAGGTGCTGTATGGCCGGGACCCACAGCAGACGCCTTTGTGAGACAGTCGTGTGATTTTGTTTATGGCCCCTTTTAATTGCGTCACCGACAC